GGTGTCTAGCTCGTGCCTGCCGTCAAGCGCCTGTGGTCGTCGCCCTAGTCCTCCGCTGTTTTTCGTTTGTCTTCTTGTGTGCTGGGCCTTCGCCGCCCAGGTAATAAATTAACTATTTACGCTTCCGCTTGATAAGCTCTAAAATGTATCAACTTTTGGTATACCTTGCCTCCTGGGACATGGAATAATACACGCACGTAAGGAACGCCCGTTGGGTTATTTCCGGTCGTGACAGGTTATTGCTACCGAAGTCTAATTTGGTTCCGAGAGGGGGGCATATTACCACTAATTGCATAGTGTGCGATTGTAATTTTTTTGTTGCAATAAGTAGGAAGTATCGCAACAAATAAATTTGCGTTAAAATTAGGGTGACGATATTGCCGCGCTTTTTGTTATCGTTGCAATAGTTATCCATGTCGCAACGAATTTAGAGCGTTGTTATTAGAGTCATGTATATAGCAACGCGAAACTACTTTGTTGCAAATGAGTCTGTAGATATTGCAACGCAAACCTAAATCATTGAAAATTAGTCTATAGGTATTGCAACGCAAACCTAAATCGTTGCAACCATTCTTAGATATTGCAACAACCACCGGAAATCGTTGCAACTAACAAGATTCTCTCGCAACAATATTTCGTCATTGCTATAGTTTAACGAATCGTTGCAATAGGTGAAATTGGTGGTGCCACCTACAGATTGTTCATGGGCCTTTGTATTGTTAAACTTTAACTTGTTTGCATCATTGTGGCCCGGGTCGGGGTCATGACTTACGTAATTAAGTCGGCCCGGCCAATTAGCTGGGCTGTATCGTGTAATAAAAACAGGTACGATTAACCCTACCCTTAGCAGTCGATAGATAGATCCCTGATCATAGACTAGCTGGCGCCAGCGACCCTTTTATATCTTGCACAATTGCCGGCGACACCGAAGCACTCGACGCTAGCGAGACCACACCCTGTCCCTATCTCCCAACTCGATATCTCGACGCCGTTCGAATCGATCCCTATATTTATATATATTCAGGTACCTCTTCGATCACGAGTGCAATGAAAACTATTGATTCTTTATTTTCTATATATCTATGTAATTAAAAATTGGCTTATTTCATTGCATACCACCCCTTAGGCAAATTTGGTAACAAATTTTCTCAATTGGAATATGGCACGTGATGATGATCATAGTTGGATGCTATTGTCTCAGTCAGATTGTGTGTGGCAAGTTGGATTTGAAAAATTCATTTAACATACATTTGAAGGTACCCATCCAGGAGGGACTGCGGCCTGTCCATGTACTAGGTGTCGTTGCATGGCATACAGAACGAAAATTGAGGTTCAACAACACTTTGCTTGGTAGAGGGTTTGATAAGGATTTCATAAAATAGAAACATTCTGTTAGTAAACCTATGGTTGTGGATGATCAGGAGATTAGTGAAGCCGAAGTTGATGATGGCGGCTCTATCGATAATCGGCTTTCTTCGCTAATCAGAGATAGTAATATTGAGGTGCCAAATGAGTCAGCAAAGAATTTTTTCAAATTAATGGAAGAAGATCGGAAAGAATTATACCCAGGGTGCAAGGAGGCTACCATGGTATCTTTCATTGTCAGGCTATTTCAGATTAAGTGCATGTATGGTATCAGTAACAATGCCATGGAGCAAATACTTCACTTATTCTGTCTTTTGCTCCCTGAGGGACATTGTGTCCCAAATACTTTGGATAAAGTTCGTAAGGTAGTCCAAGATCTCGGGTTGGACTACCAAAAGATTCATGCTTGTGTCAATGATTGTGTGTTATTTCGTGGAGAGTATGATAATATGAACAGATGTCCAACATGTGGGGAGAGTAGGTGGAAAAATATATATTCTGGAGAACTCGGGGAAGGCAGTGGCATTGGAGGAGTAAAGAAAAAAGTCCTTCGTCCTCGTAAAATACTTAGGTATTTTCCACTTATTCCTTGACTTCAACGATTATATATGAATGACACCACATTGACCTATATGCGTTGGCACAAGGAAGAAATAGTTGATGATGGGAAAGTGCGGCACCCAGCAAACTCATTGGCATGGAAGCACATAGATGAAAAGTACGGGGATCGGTTTGAATCTGATCCACGCAATGTTAGGATTGGACTTGCATCAGACGGCTTCAATCCATTTGGGATGTTGAATGCGACTTACACTACATGGGCGGTGATCCTAATTCCATATAACTTGCCTCCTTGGTTGTGCTTGAAACAATCTTATTGGATGATATCGATGCTGGTACCTGGGCCTAGATCTCCAGGAATGAACATTGAAGTATATTTGCAGCCACTGATCGATGAGCTTAAACAGGGATGCCAAGGTGAAAAAGAATTTTACGCTTCGTGCAATTCTGCTTTGGACAAAAAACGGTTTTCCTGCGTATGCCATGTTATCAAGTTGGAGCAGAAAAGGCAAGTTTGCGTGTCCTTATTGTCACAAGGATACTGAATACTTGTGGTTAAAATACGGCAAGAAGCATTGCTACATGGGCCATCGCCGCTTTTTGGCTTCAAACCACAGGTGTAGAAAGAACAAGGTTAGCTTCAATAACAAGGTTGAAATGAGGGGGACTCCAGTGGCACTCAGTGGTGACGAAGTATTGAAGCAGTACGAGAGTTTTGAGCAAGTCAAATTTGGCATGATGTCAAGGAAGAGGAAGCAACGAGATGAAGATACTAGATGGCACAACTGGAGGAAGAAGAGTATTTTTTTTATCTTCCTTACTGGAAATCATTGCTTATACACCATAATCTAGATGTGATGCGTATTGAGAATAACATATGTGAGAGCTTGCTAGGTACTTTGCTTGATTTAACAGGTAAATCTAAGGACAGTGAGAAGGCTCGACTTGATTTGCAAGAATTGGGTATTAGGAAGAATCAACATCTATTGGTCCATAAAGGAAAATACACTTTGTCGGCAGCCTTGTACACGTTAAGTCCAAGTCAGAAGGAAATTCTATGCAGATTTCTACAACATGTCAAGATGCCAGATGGTTATGCCTCAAATATCAAGAGATGTGTTGATGAAAATGGTTGGAAGGTTAGTGGACTTAAAAGTCATGACTACCTTGTTTTATTACAAAAACTTTTACCATTGGTGGTATGCCATATTTTGCCTGAAGATGTTGTGATCCCATTGATCGAGCTCAGCAGGTTTTTTAACAAACTATGTTCAAAGGAGCTTGAGGTGACTGAAATTGAAAAACTTTGCAATTCGATTGGAGAGACCCTTTGTCGGCTTGAGATGATATTCCCTCCATCATTTTTTGATATTATGATGCACTTACTAGTTCATATTGCTTCGGAGGCTAGAATTAGAGGCCCTGTTTGTTATAGATGGATGTATCCCGTTGAGAGGTACCTACGTACCCTTAAAGGCTATGTGAGGAACAAAGCGTGCCCAGAAGGTTCAATAGCAGAGGTATATATCTCGGAGGAGTGCCTTACTTTCTGTGCTCGGTTCTTTGAAGATGTTAGTACAAAGGTGAATAGGCCAGAACGTCAAGAAATGTAACACCCTGAAAATTCAAGGCAATAAAAATCACTAAATGTAACATACCCGAATTCTAGGATTAAGGAATTTCCATCAAAACTAGTTGAAAGGAAAGTTCTTCAATTTTGTGAACGAAAAATTTCCATTTTAAACCCTAGGTGAAGTTAATCTAACTTGTACTGAAGTAAAATCTGAGAACAAATTAAAACCTTTTCATCTTTAACCTATACCATAGATGCAAAAACAAGTGAAAGCATGCATACTCGTTTACATCATGTTTTGACTTAAGTCCTTCTTATGCATTTGGATTTTCGTTTTGCATTTCATAATAGGTCTCATGAATAATAACTAAGATCTAGATAAACAACTAAACCATTAGGGCCTAGTGCTAGCTAGAGGAAGTTAAAATAGGAACCATACACCTTAAAATATATCAAAAAGGCCTATGTCAAGCCCCACAAAACTAAATTTGGTCATCCATTTGAAGACAAGTCATAAACATGGAAGTGAACAAATAAATTAACTCATATAGGGTATATTCTATCTTAATCATCTCTATAAGCATTCTCTTAATTTAATACTAAAGTAAACTTATACATAAATAGGTAAGGAGCTTACGACATGTGTAAGGTAAACTATAATTTTAACATATCAACATCACCTTATGTTAAGAAGAGTCCAAATATAACTTTTATAAACATTTACATGCATTTAGGCAAAGGAAAACACATATAAGAGATAAGTCTTACTAATTATCTATAATAATTCGTGAAAGATAAAATCATGGGAAAAATTCATGTAGGCTCTAATTAACATATACAACTCACTGTAATTTTGGTTCAATTTAATAACAAAATTTGATACCTCAAATAAATCAGTCAAACCAGTTAAATAATAGACTAATTAAAATTCCTAATCGGCTAAAACCATACTTTGTTTAAAAATGCATTTAACTTCATGGGAGTGTATAGGGGAAACAATTTATTCAAATACTAGGTCATTTATTATGAATAAATATATTTTTTCCAGAATTTATCTTCTCTGTTTAGGTCTCCTAAAAATTCAAACAGTTTCCATTGAGCCCTTCTTCTTTTAATTTCTGTGAGCAATCTATCCATAATTCGTGAGTGAAACCAAATAAAATGGAAACTAGGTACATTCATCTACTTCCAGTAAAATCCACATGAATTGATCTGTACCCCAAAAATAATATATGAATTAACAAAGATGGGTAAGAGAAATAATCCTGAAAATTTGTCTAAAATCACTTACACCCAATTATCTACCCATCCCTCACACCACCACCTAGCTTACACCGACCTGGACCCACCTGGCAGCCTCCTTGGCTTGCCCTTCCTCTGTGCAACTTCTCTAGCCGACCAAAACTGAGAAAGAGACCGAGCCAACAGCCCTCAGGCGCGTTTGACACGTGGCCACGACGTGTCGACGATCTAAAAACGCCGAGCTCCATCTCCGCCTCTCCCAGACGCGTCGTCACTCCTCACCCACCATTCCAGTGCCGATCCAACCGAGGGAGAGCATCCTTGCTGCCCTTCTCCACCGTTTCTCTATCGCCGGTCGCGAAGAAGATGATGGCCACATTCGTTGATGAGCCACGGTCATTTCCTCTTCTTTTGCATTCCAAAACCTACTCTCGATGCCATCTCTATTTCATCTAATTTCGTCCCATTCTATGCAGCGGTTGAGCGGGAACGCCACCGTGCCCACAAACGCCCTGGAGCGCACAACGACGACCGCTGTCGGGTTCTCGTCGTCGTTCTAACCAAACCGAACCACCCCAAGCCGAACCCTTGCGCCACCAGAATCGCCTAGACGTCCTCTTCAAGATTCTCCAAGAACCTCATGGATCGGTGAATCGAGGAGGGATATCGGCGTCATCTTCTCCATCTCCGGCCGCCGACATCGATCTTCGATTCCTTGATCCCGGGTGAGCTTCAGCGCAATTCCTGACTCGTGTAGCATCTTTAGATGGTCTTTGAGCCGTTCCACTCTTTTTCTTGGCAGCCCGGAGTCCGGATGGTGGTTGTCACCGTTGGCATGCCGATTTCCGCCGCCGTCGGGACATCCTCTGCATCGTCGTCGCTGTCCAGGCCTACCCGTACCGCGTCCGAGCTTTGGTGAGCACCCTGCAGCCTATAGAACATACATGCATGCATCCCTTTGGGTACATCCAGACTATAGCATGACATGCACCACCACCCGAAAACATCCTCTGCTCGGACTCGCCGCTGGCGCTACTCCAATGTCCGCTATCTGATAAATGTATAGGAATGGAATCGAAATAACATGATCTTCATTTTGTATTTTGGTCGCACCCCCAAACGAGCCATCGTTTGTCGCCGGCGAGCTCGAGATCGAGCTCAGCCATGGCGCTCTGTTCTGTCCAGGTCGCAGGGACTTCGCTTTGAGAATTTAAACAAATATAAGGGTTAATATGAAAACATACTAAACACTGACATATGGGCCTAGGACTGCGGGTTGGTTTCTAGAAATCTCAAGGGCCTTCCTGCATATTGGCCGTATGACTGACAGCGGACCCCTAGTAACAAAATCTGAGATTATGTAAGAAAAGTACCTAAAACTTGTAAAAAATCCATAGAAAATCAAATATAACTCATTTTGAGATGATTATGTAAACTCATATAAGGATGAACTTTAATGTTATGAAATAAAAACTTACACTTGCAGTACAAATTACACCTCTAAAATTTATTTAAGAAAAAAATATACATAAAGCATGCACAAACTTATAAAATGCATACAAAATTCATCTCAACTCATTTTAGGGTAAATTCACATTTCAAGGAATCATAAATTTGTTGTCCACTGTAAAGTGAAATAAAATAATATACTTACTTTGTACCTGATGCCTCTAAAACTATTATCTTTAAAATGAATAGTTTTAGATAAGCTGAACTTTAGAAGTTCATATAAAATTCATCTTAGATCCTTTTTGAGTAAACCCAAGTTCTGTAGATTCACCAAAACATATACTTCCAATTTGTAAAATAAAATCATATACTTACTGTGTAATAAAAGCCTCTAAATATTTATGTAATTAATAACCAACATAGAGCAACATTTAATTTGTAAAATTTGTAGAAAATTCATCTTTAGTCTAAATGAAGTGAACCAAATTTCTATAGGACCAGCAAGTAATGTAATTCAACCTAGTAGAGTGAAATATGGCACCCTCTGTTCATACCATAGCTCTAAACCTTAATTTGGTAGTATAGGTACTAAACACATAATAGTGGTTAAACAATACATATAAATAAGTATATATATGCATGGTAGCTCCAAATAATTCCAAATAAAACTTGTTAGGACCAGTGGATCCATAGTTCCATCCCCATCCACAAAAACTTAGAAGAACTTAGCTCATATAATAATTTCTAGATTGATATAATATATTGCTAGCATAGACTAGAGCTCCCCTAGTTTATAAGAATATGAACTATGATAATAAAGACCATAAGCTTATGAACTAAGGTTAGACTAGTTAACTAAAATACTCATTTTGTACATCACTAGCTAGATGAGGCAAGTTCTGGACCTAAACCTCTAAAGCCATGACCCTATGTAACACTATACACCTATAACACGTTATAACTTGTAAAATACATAAAGAATTCATATTAACTCTAAAAATTGTGAAACCAAATGTGTTAGTCTTAGAAAACACATATCTTCACCTTAATAAACTTAATAAGAATCACCTTACAACAGCATTTCATAATAGTACCTAAGTAAATCCTACACTATACCGACGAAACTTCTAAAATTCATAACTCTCAAATAAAATGAGATAAAATAGAAATTCTTTCACCTAAATTCATTTTAGACCAGTACCTATTCACTGTGCACAAATCATGCATTTTAGAGCATTTTGTATTTTTCACATATTTCGGTGTTTAATTGCATTAGGTGTACTTTGTATAGATGATTGCTTAAACGGTGAAGAAGTGAATTAGGTGCTGACATTTTCCAGTTGCAAGGCAAGTCCCACCTTCCTCTCTTTGATCATTTTGAACCTTTATTTTGGAGGTTATTGCAAATGTTTGCAAATCTTGCATGTCGATTGTACACTAATAAATTAAAATTTTCTTAAACTTGTTAGAAAAACTCCTATTATTTGCATTATCACCCTAACCCCACATATATCCATATCCATCATTCCTAACCATAGGAACAATATGACTATGCCACTTTGTATATGAGTTTAGATGCCACTAGATTGCTATAATGCTTAGCCATGCTTACAATGGTCTTCCTTGTCATTATGGGCTCATTACAAACATGTCAATTGATTTTGAAATAATCTGGACAGAACTTTAATACTTGTGATTTTGATAAATAAAATGATGGAAAACGTGGATTTTAGGTTTGGGCTCAAGTGGTGCACATATGGTGATTAGTTGTGTACCGATAGGGGGAGAGTGCACCCAAACCGACTTAAAGACTTCACTCAATGTCAGTCCATTTCGTATACAGTACAACCACATGTGCTAGTATGGGATAGCCCAAGCTTAGTAAATCATTTATGGTTTAGCCTTACATTCTGGTAGGCCAGTGTGGGTGGGTTCCCGTTGTGTCCGCCACCACGGCGTTAAGTTTAAGGTGTGGGCCCGCCACTTAACGGTTCTAGGTCATATAACGTGTAGGCTTAGGATGGAGTAACACGTATCGTGCTGGTGTAAGGCTAAATCATGAATTTTGAAAAAGCTTTGTTGTGGGTAATAAATCGGGTACTTATGTTTCGCGTGACACGCTCTTGCATGATTATTATTTCGCATCATGTGGGTAAAGTGTACAAACTCTGCAGAGTAAGAACTAATCGATTAGCCGTGCTCACGGTCATAAGCAGCATGTGGATATGTATTGAGTATAGACTTGTGTTTATTCTTCTAAATGTTGAATTTACCTTCAAATTATGTTGAGATTTGAGAATGATCTCCTTGCTGCCATGGATGGCAATGAGGTGCACATTTATACATTATTAATGCCTACTTTGATGCCCATATGCTAAGTACTAGCTTGCTGAAATTTATTTGAAAGAAAATTTGATTTGAATGTGGTTTATGCAAATAAAACTTGCTTTGTGCTAAAAAGAACCATATCATGCCTTCCTTGATTATATGCCTTGCAAGTAGGGTGTTAGGCTTGTCTTGGTGCTTGCCAGTACATTATTTCTAATAATGTACTGATTCTTGCCGTTGAATTAACCTTTTGCTTGCAGGTTTTAGATTTAGTCTGTGAGTGATGCGCGTAATCGACTGCTTCGCCTAGGATTTGAACATAATGGGGTAAACTCCTAGTCGGTGTGCTTGTGGATTGGGTAGACAAGCTTCCGCTGTTCTATATATTTATTTGGCCGGTCGGCCTATGTATCTCTAAGTTAGTTGTAATTTTAATCGCTTTCATCTTTATTTGTGTTTGCTATGTATGTCCATGCTTAAGATGAAAGTGTGAATCTAGTGCACATACTGGGAATTAGATTCACATGAGTATAAGTTAAGAATATTTGAGATGTTGTAGATCTTTAGCTATTTTTGTCAAGTCTCCTGAATGTGTAACACATCTGGTCGCCGCCTTCGAGTGGTTTGACGGGCACATCTCAGGTTGAAGTTGACTGGCAGGATATTCCTCTCTTGAGGCGTCGGATATTTCATTATGCTTGTTAGATGATTTGAATTATTCATTTCATCTCTCAATTATAATGGAAGGTCCGAAGAGCCTACAACACTAAAATTTTGAACTTTTTAAAACTTTTGCATCATGCTGGATGTTATGGTTGCTATTGCTTGCCAAATCGTAAATGATCATAAAGAAATTAAAGAAAAGATCTACATTTAAGCAATAGATAAAATTTACGAGAATATATTATTTATGTTTAACCCTATAAATACACACGAAAGCAAGCCAAATAAAGTACAAGTCAAATATTAATTTCTATTTTGAATCACAAATCAAATATTAAATATTCGAACCATCTTGATAGCTTGATGTCATATTTAACAAAAGGAAATACTAAGATTAAATATAATTCATTTGGATCCAACCTCACATGAAATAATGGTCACCACCATAAGAGCATCTCCAGCAGGGTCCTCAAACAAAGTCCCTAAATAAGTTTTGAGAGTTGATGCAAAAAATATAGGTCCAGCAAAGTCCCTACTAGAGCCCCCAATCTAGGGAGGCCCCTAGATCACTCCTCCAAGCCCCCAGTCCGGGGGGCTCAACCCCACAGCCCCCATCCTCTTTTTTTTTGGCGGGGGAAATTTCTGAGCGCGCGCCATTGTCATCCTCCCTCCCTCCCGCGTCATCGCCATCCTCCCACAACCTCCCAACGAGCAAGCCGCCAGGTCGTTTTGCTCCGGCCGGCGACCACCCGACATCCCTCGGGAAGAAACTTCGGCGAGATTCCACAGTGTGCCGCCTCAAGCCATCACAATCATCGGTTTTACTCCGTCACTCACTGTCGCCGACCTCCTTGCATCTTTGGCCAACGCGCGTCGTCACCGATCGATCACGCCTAGGTGAGTCTCGACGTCCTCCCCGAACTAGCTGCTCACCCGCTGTCCACAAGGCCTAGCGCCGACCATCGACAGCTATCTATCACCGGCCGCACACATGCTGCAGTAAAAAAATTCAGAGATGATGGTGATTAAAACAAATCACAATAGTAAAGTTCAGTTTCGTATGTCTGAGTCTCCTTGTTTGATTTTGATCTTTATGGGCTTCCTAGGCGTCTAGGCCCATCTAAATCATTCGCACAGCAAAACGTACATTGTCATCATTCATGTTTTATATGCAATGTCTTGTTCTATGTCAGAGAGCTAATCTTGCTGAGCATATATAATATTTAAGAAATAAATTTGTGTTTGCACTGAGTCCTTAGTACTGCGGAACCAATATATATGCTAAATAAATACATATTGCAAACAGTATAACCTGATGTACATTGCAATCATTTGTTGATGTTTCTGAGATAGATTGGAAAGGTTGTCAATTTATATATTTATTGCAGTGACTAGATTGCAATGACAAGTGGAGGTGATTCCTTTGTGCGCATGATGTCCGAGGACACTGATGTCGAAGTGCTAATGCCAAATGAAGACCTTCGTACTTCAACAAATGGTGCAAAAGGAAGTGCCAAAAGATCAAGCAACTATACTCGTAAGGAGGACATTCAATTGTGCATTTCATGGCAGAGCATTAGCTCAGATCCTATTATTGGCAATGAGCAACCAGGGAAGGCATATTGGCAGAGGATCGCAGAGCACTACCATGCTAACCGTGATTTTGAGTCTGATAGGAATGCAAACTCTCTTGAGCACCATTGGGGTAACATTCAGAAGGAAGTAAGCAAGTTTCAAGGTTGCTACAATCAAATTGAGCGTCATCATCCAAGTGGCATACCACATCAAGAGCTTGTAAGTTAAATTGTTTATTTATTATTATTAATAACAATCTTGTATGTATGTGAACTAAAACTTAAATTATGTTGCAGGTTCTTGAAGCTGAGGCATTATACTCGTCCACTGCACCAAAGAATAGGGCATTTCAGTTTAATCATTGTTGGCTCAAGTTGAGGAATTCTCCAAAGTTTCAAACACTAGAATCCCACAAGAGGCCACGGTCTAGGAAGTCTTTGACCCCAATTGAGAGAGCTGGTGAAGAAGATGAAGGAGATGATGCTAGCAAGAGTACAGCTCCTGATTTATCTCAGCCGAGTGCTAAAAAGAGACCAATAGGTAGGAAGCAAGCAAAGGAGAAGTTGAAGAATGGAGGAGAAGATGGACCATACAAAGAGGCGATGAAAGATTTGCTTGACGCTAAAGAGAAAGAAGCGAAATTGAAAGAAGAGAGATGGAAGGAAACTAAGGAGATTCAAGAGCGCAAGCTCTTATTTGCTGAGCGTAAGTTAGTGTGGGATCAAGAACAGAAGATTATGTTTTGTGATGTTTCCACCTTGGAACCGGATGTGAGAACGTATGTGTTGGCTATGAGGGCACAGATTGCAGCTTCAAAGGTGGCTGCCCTCAATGGTGGATTTGATGGTAGTAGTGGCTTTGGAGGTGAGTTTGGTGGCGGTAATGGAGAAGTTTGAGCACTTCGATGGAATAAGTTGGATTCTATTGGATGATCCACGTGTCCTTTACTAGTAGGATATGCCATTATCACGATTGGTCTTTGAAGTCCTTTTTTGTTAATTATTTCCACAATAATTTTAGTGTCACTTGCTAGTAGGACATATATTACTTTCAGATTTGTTATTTATAATCGAACCATTCATGGTTGTAGGATGTATTATTTTTAAATTATATAATGCATCATTGGGTTCACATAGTTTATTTTTTATGAGCAATTTTCATTTTCATTGGTGAATTACGAATATTGGTTGCATCTTGTTGTCGTATATGGCACTGTACCCATACCATATTTACATGTTTAAAAATTTTAATTTTGTATTCGAATTGTAGTATTTGAAATTGTGAATTTAAGTATGGTTAAATTATGTGAGTTAGAAATAATTGTGTTCGAATTTTTGTGGTGTTAAACATACTGTATATGGATTGTATTTTAAAATACAAGATAAACATGAGTAGGGACTAAGAAATAGGGGGTACTGCTGGAGTTGGAGGCATTTTTTAGTCATTGAGAAATAGGGGCAGCCCTTATTTAACTTTTAGGTGCTTCAAAATAAGGTCTATTGCTGGAGATGCTCTAATGACCCTATCTATATATTTCACTCGAATATTTAACATATCTTTCTTCACATAAAATTCACTTATGTAAAATGGTTGGTCACATAAATAACTAGAGCAAATATATCACTACCTTTATGATGGATTTAATGGAATATTTTAAACCTACATTTAGATATTGAGTCTCCAAAATATATAAGTTCTGATGAGGACATCAACACCATCGATACATCCATGTCCCCCCATATACAGCATGATGGTCCTATTACCCGCGCTCGTGCACGTCAACTAAATTATCAGGTGAGTTCTTTCTTGAGTTCATATTCCTCGTCTTTATACCTCGGAGACGCGTGCACTCGTGTTTTACTCAGGAACGATGGAGAGGATCCAAAGGGAAGAGGATTCGCGTGGGGTGGATTCGGACTGCAGGGCAGCGCCAACTTCTGACGGCCGCCACGACTTCATGCGAACTCCGATTTGGGCGTGCAAGTACTTCATGGAAAGATTATTAAGTCTACTTTCAAATGGATCCAGCCACATGTCCATATCTATTCTGGAGCGGCCGCAATTGTCATTTTACTCCCGACTATTTTTTGTCCATGGTGCTGCGTCACCTCTTTTGGCCCAATGGGCTGTGTATCCATGTTGGGCCCATTAGGGGCGCGTCCTAGGGTTGGAGCACGACCCTATGGTCGTTCTTCCCCTCTTTTTATACCTCTAGTCGCCGCCAAGAACAGGCGGGTTTTGATGATAGAGATAGCTTCTTGCTACCGGCTCGCAGCGCGCGTGTTGGCTAAACCGCCCGTCTGCCTGTAATCGGAACCCCACCATATTGTGTTTGATAGTGAAACTTTCATCTTTATCTAGCAATCTCAGTGCTTGTCCTACTTGTTCTTGCTTGTTCTTCGATTGCTTGCAGGACGAGTGCCCTCGTGGCCGGGTTGACGCGCACCACAAGTTCGCGGCGACCATTGGAGACGGTGTATCGGTTGCTAAGGCGCAGCGTCTTTGGACAGTTGTAGTCGGGCCGTGAACGTCGACTTCATCTAATCGAGTTATCCCTTACCTCTCATCGAAAGATCGGGCCACAAACCCTAGCGGGTTCGCATCAGGTGGTATCAGAGCGTGGTTCATCGGTGAGAGAATTTACCCTTCCCTTCGTCATTAATTTTTTTTTCCTATAGTCCAGAAAAGACCAACAAAAAAAAATAGTAGATTAGTTTTTCGATGATCCTATAGACCATTGTGCCTTTTCCCTAGTACTTGTTAGTTAAGGCTTGTTGAGTTTTCGATTGCATCGGTTGTGTTAATTTGCTGGTCTTAGTGTTAGGCGATTAGAGTTTCGAGTTCTTGCCACCACCGCACATCGCCACCTTCATCAATTTTGCCGTCATCACCACCGTCACCACCATCGCAGTCACCCACCAAATCACTTTCTATTTGTGTTTGATCTGTTGCCGATAGCTTTTGTTAGTTGCCTTGTATCCTGCCGCCACTAGAAAGGAAATAGAACCCTGATTCGAGTGACCTTCCTTAAAACAGTCATATCTTTTTCATACGGACTCGAAATTAGGCTTATAATATATCCACGGACATCTACAAAAAAAGTTACATCCGATTCTCCCCGCTTTGTCGGGTTCGGCAAATTTAAAATCGCCAAATTCCTCTTGCAAAATTCTGTTTTTGTGGCGAGAAGCTTCGGGACCTATTCGCATAGAACTTTAAAAAAATTCTACAAGCTTCATACTTTGTCCGTTTGAGATAAGATTTTCTGTGGTTGGTTCTAGTGTGCTCCTGGTTGTGAAAAAAATATCAAAAAAAAAGTTGTGCCTCTCTCCTCAGCACTAGAGAGAGCAAGCAAAAAAAAAAAGAGGATCCAGCGAGCACACCACACCATTCCCCCTTTGTCACCACCTTCTACCACCGGTTCTTGTTTTCGTTGTTGTTTGGGTTTGTGTTTTGTGGCGTCCTTTGTGGTTAGGCTCGCGTCTCTACTTCGACTAGCCTAGGACCAGCACTGTACACTATACCCTTGAGCGATTATTCAATTTGCTTTGGCTAACGTGGTTTCTAGTTTTCTCTTGAGCATTGCTTTCAGCCCACCAACAGCTCCACCACAAACCCGACTACAGCTTGACAGGTCTTGTTGCTACAGCACCGATACACCTCGTTCCACGGTTGCTAACTTGTGGTGTTGCTGTCCCCCTCCTGTGGGCAAGGTAAGAACTGGTAAGAGCTTGTGAGACAAGCTGCGAGTGAAGTGAGAGTGAGCGTCTTGCAAAAGCTACATCCCAATAGTTGTGTAGGGCTTACATTACATCCTCCATTGTTTTGTTGTCCTTCATTTCTAAACCATGGCAGGTCCAGAGGATAAAGATGAGGAGGGTGCATCTCATTCCCCACGCACCAAAGGCATCATCCAATACTTTACAAGGCAAGTGAAGCAGCACACAGAAGGACTTGATACAGATTTGCAGGTGACAAATGAGAAGATTGGACAATAGGAGTCCACGCAGATCTCCACCAACACTAAGCTTACAGGGTTGGAGACAGCGGTCGCCCGCATTGACACTAGCCTTGCTGCTCTTGTGAGGCATTTTGATGCTCTCAATGCTGGAGGCAATGGTGGGGGTAATGACGATGACATTGACGGAGAGTACATCGAGGATAATTTAGAGGATGAATATATTGCTGACACTGAACAAGATGATCGAGATGCTCAAGATCGTCGACGGCTACACAACAATCGACGAGGTATGGGTGGTCGCCGCCGACGCGAGGTACGCAACAATGATGATGCTTTTTCTAAAATTAAATTTAAGATTCCTCCTTTTGATGGAAAATATGATCCTGATGCGTTCCTCTCTTGGGAGATTGCTGTTGACCAAAAATTTGCATACCATGAGTTTCCTGAGAACACTAGAGTTAGAGCTGCTACGAGTGAGTTCACCGATTTTGCTTCGGTTTGGTGGATAGAACATGGCAAGAAAAATCCTAATAACATGCCACAAACTTGGGATGCTTTGAAACGGGTCATGCGGGCTAGATTTGTTCCTTCTTACTATGCACGTGACTTGCTGAATAGATTGCAACAATTGAGACAGGGTGCGAAAAGTGTAGAGGAATATTATCAGGAGTTACAAATGGGCTTGCTTCGTTGTAATTTAGAGGAAACTGAGGACACTGCCATGGCTAGATTTTTGGGTGGGTTAAACCGCGAGATTTATGACATCGTAGACTATAAAGATTACACTAATATGACCCGATTGTTTCATCTTGCTTGTAAGGCTGAAAGGGAAGTGCAAGGACGACGTGCTAGTGCCAAGGCTAATTTTTCTGCAGGTAAAACTTCATCATGGCAGACACGCACCACTCCTCCGGCCGGCCGTACTGCTTCTCCATCTTCCACACCCACAACCAGTCGAGCAGCACCTCCTCCATCTAGTGACAAGTCCGTGACAAAGGCCGCTCAGCCAGCACCGAGTGCTTCTTCAATGGTATCCACAGGCCGAATGAGAGATGTTCAGTGCCACCGTTGCAAGGGCTTTGGGCATGTGCAGCGTGACTGCCCTAGCAAGCGAGTTTTGGTAGTCAAAAACGATGGTGAGTACTCCTCTGCTAGTGATTTCGATGATGATACACTTGCTTTGCTTGCGGCTGACCATGCAGATAATGAGCCACCGGAAGAGCACATTGGGGCTGCATTTGCGGATCACTATGAGAGCCTCATTGTGCAGCGTGTCCTTAGCGCACAAATGGAGAAGGCGGAGCAAAATCAGCGACACACGTTGTTCCAAACAAAGTGTGTCCTCAAAGAGCGTTGTTGCCGCATGATCATTGATGGAGGTAGCTGCAACAACTTGGCTAGCAGCGAGATGGTGGAGAAGCTTGCACTTAGCACCAAACCGCACCCACATCCATACTACATCCAATGGCTGAACAACAGTGGTAAGGTGAAGGTAACAAAACTGGTGCACATTAATTTTGCAATTGGAAATTACCATGATGTTGTTGAATGTGATGTTGTGCCCATGCAAGCATGTAATATTCTGCTAGGTAGACCATGGCAATTTGATAGGGATTCTATGCATCATGGTAGGTCCAACCAGTACTCTTTTCTGTACCATGATAAGAAAATTGTGTTGCATCCCATGTCTTCTGAAGATATTTTGCGTGATGATGTTGCTAAGGCTGCCAAATCCAAATGTGAGAGTGATAAAAAAGCCCAATCTGATGGCAAGAAACCTGAGACAATCAATTTGAAACCCAAATGCTTACTTGCTACTAAATCTGATATTACTGAGTTGATTGCATCACCTTCAGTTGCCTATGCTTTGGTATGCAAAGATGCTTTGATTTCACTTCACGATATGCAGCATTCTTTGCCCCCTGCTGTTGCTAACATTTTGCAGGAGTACTCTGATGTGTTTCCCAAGGAAGTGCCACCGGGGCTGCCACCGGTGCGCGGCATTGAGCATCAAATCGACTTGATCCCAGGTGCTTCCCTACCGAACCGTGCGCCATACCGAACCAACCCTGAGGAAACCAAGGAGATTCAGCGTCAAGTTCATGAGTTGCTTGATAAAGGGTATGTACGCGAGTCTCTTAGTCCATGTGCGGTTCCGGTAATTTTGGTACCAAAGAAAGATGGTTCATGGCGTATGTGTGTTGATTGTAGAGCTATTAATAACATTACCATTCGATATCGTCATCCTATTCCTAGGTTAGATGATATGCTTGATGAATTGAGTGGCTCTATTGTGTTCTCCAAAGTTGATTTGCGTAGTGGTTACCACCAGATTCGTATGAAGTTGGGTGATGAATGGAAAACAACATTTAAAACGAAGTTTGGGTTGTATGAGTGGTTAGTGATGCCTTTTGGTTTAACTAATGCACCCAGCACTTTCATGAGGTTGATGAATGAGGTTTTGCGTCCTTTCATTGGAAAATTTGTGGTGGTCTACTTTGATGATATCTTGATTTACAGCAAGTCTATGGGTGAACATTTTAATCATTTACGTGCTGTTTTTAATGCTCTTCGTGATGCACGTTTATTTGGTAACCTTGAGAAGTGCACCTTTTGCACAGATCGAGTTTCTTTTCTTGGCTATGTTGTAACTCCGCAGGGGATTGAGGTTGATCAAGCCAAGGTTGAGGCAATTCAGAGTTGGCCGACTCCTAAAACGGTCTCACAAGTGCGGAGCTTTCTAGGACTCGCGGGGTTCTATCGCCGCTTTGTGCAGGATTTCAGCACCATTGCTGCACCATTGAATGCGCTTACAAAGAAGGGAGTGCCTTTCACTTGGGGCACATCACAAGAGAACGCCTTCCACATGTTGAAAGATAAGTTGACCCATGCACCTCTCCTCCAACTTCCCGATTTTAATAAGACTTTTGAACTTGAATGTGATGCTAGTGGGATTGGATTGGGTGGTGTTTTGCTACAAGAAGGAAAACCTGTTGCATATTTTAGTGAAAAGTTGAGTGGGAACTTTAGATAAGGAATTATTCTACTTATGATAAGGAATTGTATGCTCTTGTGCGAACTTTAGAAACATGGCAGCATTATTTGTGGCCCAAGGAATTTGTCATACATTCTGATCATGAGTCTTTGAAGCATATTCGTATTCAAGGGAAGCTGAACCGTAGACATGCTAAATGGGTTGAATTTATTGAATCTTTTCCTTATGTTATCAAACACAAGAAAGGGAAGGAGAACATCATTGCTGATGCTTTGTCTAGGAGATACACTTTGTTGACACAACTTGACTACAAGATTTTTGGCCTAGAAACAATCAAAGACCAATATGCGCATGATGCTGATTTTAATGATGTGTTGCTGCATTGTAAGGATGGAAGAACATGGAACAAAATCGTCATCAATGATGGGTTTGTTTTCAGAGCTAACAAGCTATGCATTCTAGCTAGCTCCGTTCGCTTGTTGTTGTTGCAGGAAGCGCATGGAGGCAGTTTGATGGGACATTTTGGTGCCAAGAAGACACATGACATCCTTGCTAGTCATTTCTTTTGGCCACAGATGCGAAGAGATGTTGGCAGGTTCGTTGCTCGCTGCGCTACATGTCAAAAGGCTAAGTCACGCTTACATCCACATGGTTTGTATATGCCTCTTCCTGTTCCTACTGTTCCTTGGGAAGATATTTCAATGGATTCTGTGTTAGGATTGCCTAGGACCAAGAGGGGGCGTGATAGCATTTTTGTGGTTGTGGATCGATTTTCTAAAATGGCACATTTCATACCATGTCATAAAACTGATGATGCTTCTCATATTGCTGATTTGTTCTTTCGAGAAATTGTTCGCTTGCATGGTGTGCCAAACACAATTGTTTCTGATCGTGACACAAAATTTCTTAGCCATTTTTGGAGAACTTTGTGGGCTAAATTGGGGACTAAACTTTTGTTTTCTACTACTTGTCATCCCCAAACTGATGGACAAACTGAAGTGGTGAATAGAACCTTGTCTACTATGCTTAGGGCTGTTTTGAAGAAAAATATCAAGATGTGGGAAGAATGCTTGCCTCATATTGAATTTGCTTATAATCGTTCCTTGCATTCTACTACAAAAATGTGCCCATTTCAGATTGTGTATGGTTTGTTGCCTCGTGCTCCAATTGATTTGATGCCTTTACCATCTTCTGAAAAACTGAATTTTGATGCTAAGCAACGTGCTGAGTTGATGTTAAAACTGCATGAGACAACTAAAGAAAACATAGAGCGCATGAATGCTAAGTATAAGTTTGCTGGTGACAAAGGTAGAAGGGAGTTGAATTTTGAACCTGGAGATATGGTTTGGTTGCATTTGCGAAAAGAACGATTTCCTGATTTGAGAAAGTCTAAATTGATGCCTAGAGCTGATGGACCATTTAAAGTGTTAGCAAAGATTAATGAGAATGCATATAAGATTGATTTGCCTGCAGATTTCAGGGTTAGTCCCACATTTAACGTTGCAGATTTGAAGCCGTATTTGGGAGAAGAAGATGAGCTTGAGTCGAGGACGACTCAAATGCAAGAAGGGGAGGATGATGAGGACATCAACACCATCGATACATCCACGTCCCCCCATATACAGCATGATGGTCCTATTACCCGCGCTCGTACACGTCAACTAAATTATCAGGTGAGTTCTTTCTTGAGTTCATATTCCTCGTCTTTATACCTCGGAGACGCGTGCACTCGTGTTTTACTCAGGAACGATGGAGAGGATCCAAAGGGAAGAGGATTCGCGCGGGGTGGATTCGGACTGCAGGGCAGCGCCAACTTCTGACGGCCGCCACGACTTCATGCGAACTCCGATTTGGGCGTGCAAGTACTTCATGGAAAGCTTATCAAGTCTACTTTCAAATGGATCCAGCCACATGTCCATATCTGTTCTGGAGCGGCCGCAATTGTCATTTTACTCCCGACTATTTTTTGTCCATGGTGCTGCGTCACCTCTTTTGGCCCAATGGGCTGTGTATCCATGTTGGGCCCATTAGGGGCGCGTCCTAGGGTTGGAGCACGACCCTATTGTCGTTCTTCCCCTCTTTTTATACCTCTAGTCGCCGCCAAGAATAGGCGGGTTTTGATGATAGAGATAGCTTCTTGCTACCGGCTCGCAGCGCGCGTGTTGGCTAAACCGCCCGTCTGCCTGTAATCGGAACCCCACCATATTGTGTTTGATAGTGAAACTTTCATCTTTTTCTAGCAATCTCAGTGCTTGTCCTACTTGTTCTTGCTTGTTCTTCGATTGCTTGCAGGACGAGTGCCCTTGTGGCCGGGTTGACGCGCACCACAAGTTCGCGGCGACCATTGGAGACGGTGTATCGGTTGCTAAGGTGCAGCGTCTTTGGACAGTTGTAGTCGGGCCGTGAACGTCGACTTCATCTAATCGAGTTATCCCTTACCTCTCATCGAAAGATCGGGCCACAAACCCTAGCGGGTTCGCATCAAGTTCACCTTGGGAAAAATCCAAATTAATCTAAAAACAATTCAATTGTGGGTGAATAAATAAATAACCAAATAAAGCATTTGAATTTACAAATCCAAAATATGTTGAGCTACATTTCAATTCCAAATCCAACACCATTTTGCAGATTAGCCCTTCCACTTTTCCTTTTTCCTTTCCTTCTTTTCTCTCTTTCCTCCTGTCGGCACTATTCATTGCCCAGGACGTATTCGTTCTGGGCCCAAGCCTCTTCCCTGTGTCACGCATGCCATCCCTGTCACCATCGCGCGCCGTTGCAGCGCCGCACGAACGTCGCCCTCGCGTCGCCGCTCCTGCCGCGTCGAGCCCCGCGTCTCACGCCGTCGTGTCGCCATCGCCTTCGCTCAGCCGCGCGCTGCCACGTAAATCGCCCATCTATGACGTTTTCCTCATGATGTTGTATATTTTCGTCATTGAATAGACCATATCTATGACAAAATTTTCTATTTCGTCATGGATCAGTCATGGCGGGATAGGTACCAAAACTCTATGACGAAATTAAAAATGGCGTCAAGGTACAATAGAAAATTTCGTCACAAATAATGCACACCTTTCATTTATTAATACCTGTTGGTCCCACAGCGCATACGTGGATATCCAAATTTCATTTATTAATACCTGTTGGTCCCACCGTGCATATGTGGCACTGGTCCCACCGCCCGCCCAAATTATATGTGCCACTGGTCCTATATGTGGCTATCATTTTTTTTATAAAAAAAAATACACCTGGGAATCGAACCCAGTCCATGAGCATTTGCGTAAGAAGCTCTACCACCATGATACTAAGATCTTTGAGTGAAAGCTTGTTTTTTTGTTAATTGTCCTTTATGCGGTGAACCTGGAGAGGACGCGGCGGCCGTGGCGCCACCATGTGGAACACACCCACTCGGCGGTGTCGTGTTTCATCATCTCCCACGTTGGGCTGTTCCCCACCAGGTGGTTTGGATCTGAATCCCCTTGAATAGTTGATTTACGATTGTGCCCTCATTATATGTGTGTTGTAGTGTTGTACCGATATGAACGAGGGGTAAGTCAGTCCAAACCACAAGAAAATTCACAAGAATAGCAGCAGGTTTTTACTTTTAATGCATGAATAAAATTTTAAAGTAGTTTATCTCACTCATATGAGTTCGAAATTAGACGATTCCTTTTTCATTATTCATATAAAAATATTGTCTACAATTTCGAGCACGTTTAGAATGTTGTCAAGTAAACAGTGAAGACTCATAAATTGAAATTCAAAATTTTGAATTGTAGAACAACTGTGTGGTTTTTCTTTTAAATCTCTAGGTAAAACTTGTAGAAAGTCTTTCTCCCTCATACTGACTTCAAATTTGATTATTCTTTTTTCTACAAATTTCTAAATTCATGATCTATCAATTTATTGTGTTATTACAACTATATTTTTGTTTACTGCTAGATAAATTAATCCGAGCTGGATGTGCATGTGCTTGAAAGATGGACAAATTTTTGGGTGGTAACTTTTGCACTGACTTCCTATTAGCAAATGGTAAGAATGGTCACTTGAACCATAGTGTCCAACTGATCTACTTAGTGATGTTGCTGCCACATTGTTAAATTTTGGAAGTGGGAAAATGCTCTTTTGATGTGTTTTGGGTTCCTGCCTGGCATTTGCACTCCATATTGTCGTGGAACTGTTGTTGTATGCCTGTACTTTGTAGAAATGAAGCATGTTTAAATTGTGTCCATAACTTTACACCACACTTTACGGTCCTGCATACAAATCTGTATATCTAAATGCTATATGCCTATAGTCTGTAGAAATGAAGCATGCATAGGAAGTTACTTGTATCATAACTTTAGTGTCGAGAAATGTCCAGGGGTCTTCCGGCTAGCTCCACAAGGTGGTAGGCTAGACGACCTGGGTTCAAAGCCTCACCCCTCCTAATTATTTGATATTAGGTCCTTCCCTAATATTCTAGTTTTTTTTTATCATAACTTTAGTGTCTAATTTTTAGTGCTACACTCCTATGCATTCTAGTTCAGTTGCTTGTTTGTTTGGCCAGTGAAATGAGGTGGGTTGGGGATGGTGACATTGAGTTCTGTTAGTGCAATATATTATGGGGACATCGGATTAGTGTTGCAAATTAGCCCTTTCATTCAAAAACTAATATCGTATCTGTCGATTGTTTCTTGTTGTTTCTCTAGCGCATAAAAAAATAATCTAACATATGGTACTATCCTATCAGGTTGCTGTGCTCCTCCCCATCACCCTCGGGCAGGTCAGAAAAATAATTGATCCTGAATTATTATTCAGTTGTATCTGATTTGGAGAATAAGAAATTTGATGTTGATATAATCTGAAACTTGGTTTTGTTTGATTGTCAGGTGTTGATATAAGCTGTCTTAGTCTCCTTTATTATCTTATGCACTGTGATGAACTCCATCTACTTATTTTAGTTGTGTTGATGCTTCTATGAGCTTACTGTCGTGTGGTGGACTTGGTTATGTAAAATGATGTTTGGTGCTATGGTGGACTTAAATTATCATCCTGTGGTAAACTTTTGTGGACTTAAATGTGAAGATATGTGTACTAGGTTGTGTGAACTTATTTGTAATATGGTGCTATGTGAAGTTGGTATCTGTGTTCAATGTTGATGTTGGGCCTATTCATAATGTCCTGTGAAGTTCTAATTGTTGCTCCAAATTGGCCAATGCTAAAAATTTTCTAGACCTAATAGTGGGTTGGGGCCACAACTAGATGTAAAATGTGTGGCTAAATGGGTTGGGCCAAGACAAATGATCAGTGGGCCTTCATCCTAATGTGTTTGACACGTGTCATTGAAACAGATTAACACGTGGCTATATCAGGTAAAGACATGTGTCATTAATCAGATATAAACACGTGGCGCCTCAAAATGAGAACACGTGGCGCTGCCACCTTCAGTCACGTGGACATATGAAATGCCAACACGTGGGATTAAATACGACTGCCACGTGGCTCTAGTATACTGGAGATGCTAATCCAACATGGAGTACATGTCATCTGCCACGTCACATCTGTCACACCCCGAAGTTCCTTCCCAAGCCTAAATTGGAGTTTTAAATGGTCTCAAGAAAATACCTGTGTCAAGCAAGAGCAAACCTTAATAAATTAATGCAAATAATAATCGGAATTGGCATGTGGAATTTTTCTTAAGTTTTACATGCCGAAATACGCTAAAAAGATTTTTAGTGGAATTTTCAGAGCTCTCGAAATAATTTTAACCAATTAAAATTGAGCACAAGCAATTTTAATCCCAGGAAAAATCCTTTTTCCTTCTTTTTCCTTTTTCTTTCTTTTCTTTTCTTTTTTTTTCCTTTGAATGGGCCGCCGGCCCATTCCTCCTTTTTCTCCCCCTCCTCCCGCTGGGCCGGCCCTTCGGCCGGCCCAGCTAAGCCGCGCGGGCCGGCCGCCCAGCTCCCCTCTCTCCCCGGGACACCGACAGGTGGGCCCCACCTATCGGGGTCGTCCCCTTCCTCCGGCCGCCCGCTCCACGTCGCCACCACCGCCGAAACTGCCGCCACGCCCACCTCCGCCTCCTCCGGGCCACGACGTCCATGTCGCCCTCGCGCCCGCGCCTCCCGCGCCCACTCCCCTCTCTCTCTCCCGCCCGCGCCCGCGCCCGAGATGGCCGGGATCCGATTTTCGAATCCCGCCTCTCTCTCCTCCCCTACTCCCCGCGTTGGCCGGCGGAATTCCGCCCCTACCGGCCACGTCCGGGATTCCCCTCCCCTATTTAAGCTCCGTCGCCACCCCCTCTCTCTTTTTCCCCATTTTGCCGAACTCTCCCGAGCTCTTGATCGCTCCCGCACCGTGCATCCGCCCGCCGCCGCCTTTCCCACCACTCCGGCCGCCTCTAGCCGCCGCTAGACTCGCCGCCGCACCGCGCCGTCGCCGCCGTCGGGTTCGCGTGGCCGAGATCCACCCCGTCCGCCCTTCCTCCGTCGAGATTCGTCACCGGAACCCGCATCCCCTCGCGCTCTGGTGAGCTCTACCCCTACCGCCGCCTTCGGCCATGGTTTCTGATTGCTGTAGTTCGTCTCCCTCCCTCTAACCTCTCTCTTTTCCTCCCTTAGGGCATTCCGGACCTCGTCCGCCCGCCGCCGTTGTCCTCCCGTAGCTCGCCGTCGCCGTTCGCCGTCATCCTCCTCCGCGCCGGCCACTCTCGGTGAGGCACTCCCCCTCCTCTATTCCCCTCCCTCTCCCTCCTAGCCGCGCCGGGTCAAGCCGCTGCCCCGGTCGTCGCCGCCGCCCCGGTCGTCGCCACCGCCTTCGCGCCGCCGCCTCCGCCGCCGGTTGCCGTCGCCTCCGCCGCTGGTTGCCATCGCCGGCAACGCGTGCGCGCGCGCGCGCCGTCGCCATCGCCGTGGCCGGTCGGCCGGCCTTGAGCCGAGCTAAGCCAAGGCCTCGAACAATGGGAAGCTAGTGAGGATCATAGCTCTGAAGGATGAGATAGCACGCTTGAAGAAGGAGAATGCTCAGTTGAAGGGTCTCCCAGCGCCAGGAGGAGTCCGGATCCGCACCACGCCCCGCAAGACGGCGACTGCACCCGTGCGCATTCAGCTTGCGCCCAGGAACCCACCTCCGCCCGCAATTCTCGCAGCTCCAGCTCCAACCCCAGCTCCAGTTCCAGTGCCAGCTCCCGCGTCCGCTCTCTCCTTCGCTCCAGCGTCAGCTGCCAGGGGTCCAGCCAGTGGCAACGGAGGTTGGTTGTCTGCTACTCCCAGTGGCAGCCGCGACCACAGCAGCAGCAGTTCCAGTGGCTCAGAGCCGGGCAGCAGGGAGACGTATCTGCCAGACTCCAGGAGCCGCTAAGAGGGATCTGGTGACGAGCAGGAGGATGCCTTCGACTCCACCGACCGCAGGAGCCGTTCCGAGCATTAGGCTTGCTTTCCATTAGTTTATCGACTGTTTAGCATTTGCCTGTTAGTTTGAGTGTTTAGGTCTGTTCGCTTGGGGGTCAGTCGACGGTCGATATCATATGCCTATGATATGGCTGTCCTAATAAGGATTTTTGCTTGCTTTTTAAGTGTTTTAATTCAGATCAGAACAATTGCAGTTTAAATTCCTATATAATAAAGCTTAGTTCCTGAGCATCTGTTTTTCTTCTTTTCCCCCGTCTGCTCTTCCTCAAGATGGTCTACACCAGGAATGGTAACCGTGCAATAGGCGAGGGCAGCAACGGCGAAGAACGCACTAACGGTGTGCATCCCAACCGTGATTCCGGCAATGGTCCGCCACCACTCCCCGAGAATCCGACCCTTGCCCAAGTAATGGCTCATCAGACGCAGATGATGACAGCTATGATGCAGCAGATGCAGCAGCAGCACCAGCAGATGTACCAGAGGATGCAGCAGCAAGCCGAGTAGCAGTAGTTTGGTCCCCCTCCCCCTCAGTCCAAACTGCCGGAGTTTCTACGCGTTAGACCACCCACCTTCTCCAGCACCACCAACCCTATGGAGGTAAATGACTGGCTCCATGCCATAGAGAAGAAGCTCAATCTCCTGCAGTGCAATGATCTGGAGAAGGTCGCCTTCGCCACACACCAGCTCCAAGGTCCCGCGTCAGCTTGGTGGGACAATCATATGGCTACCCGCCCACCAGGCACGGAAGTCACTTGGGCGGAGTTCTGCCGCAGCTTCAGGAAGGCGCAAGTGCCAGATGGGGTCGTGGCACAAAAGAAGAGGGAATTCCGGGCACTCCACCAGGGCAACAGGACAGTGACGGAGTATCTCCATGAGTTCAATCGCCTCGCGCGATATGCACCGGAGGATGTCCGTACTGACGCCGAGAAGCAGGAGAAATTCCTAGCAGGTCTGGATGATGAGCTAACCAACCAGTTGATATCTGGAGATTACGCCGACTTTGAGAGGTTGGTTGACAAGGCAATCCGTCAGAGGATCAGCGCAACTAAATGGAAAGGAAGAGGAAGGCAGCGCAGTTCCGGTCCAACCAAGGGAGCCACCAGCGACCGCGCTTCACTCCCGGACAGCAAGGTGGACCTACCACCCTAATCGTCCGCCAGCACCGCCCTTTCAGTGCCAGCAACTTCCATCAGGGCGCCAGTGGCAGCCAGAACCACCATGGCGGTCAGCCCAACCGCAGTGCAGCTCCACTCCCACCAATGGCTCCAGCACAGTCAGCTCCGTCCGCGCAAGCCAAGAAGGAGACTGGGACAAAGCCAGGGTCTTGCTTCAACTGTGGCGAGCTTGGCCACTTCGCTGACAAATGCCCAAAGCCTAGGCGTGTCGGGCCAAGGTTTGTCCAGGCCCGTGTCAACCACGCGTCCGCAGAGGAGGCGCAAGCAGCACCAGAGGTCGTACTGGGTACATTCCCTGTCAACTCAGTTCCTGCTACAGTACTTTTTGATTCTGGTGCAACGCATTCTTTCATTTCAAAGAAATTTGTGGGGATGTATGGGTTAAGAAAAAAAGAGCTTAGTACACCAATGAAGGTTCATACCCCAGGAAATAGTTCAACCTCGGTCAGTTATAGCCCTTCAGTGCTAATAGAAATTCAAAGATCACCATTTCTAGCCAACCTCATCCTTCTCGAATCCAAGGATCTAGACGTCATTCTTGGGATGGATTGGCTGACCAAGTTTAAGGGCGTCATTGATTGTGCGAATCACACAGTCACCTTGACCAATGAGAAGGGAGAAACCGTGGTGTACAAGTCACCAGTCTCACCGAAGCAAGGAATCTCCTTAAATCAGATTAAGGTGGAAAACCCTGTGACCACCGGGGAGAAGAGTTCGCGGAAATTGGACGATATCCCCATAGTCTGCGAGTACCCAGAAGTGTTCCCCAAAGACCTCACTACCATGCCACCCAAGAGAGAAATTGAATTCCGGATTGATTTGGCACCAGGAACTGCCCCTATTTACAAGAGACCGTACAGAATGACGGCCAACGAGCTAGCAGAGGTCAAGAAGCAAGTTGATGAGTAGCTGCAGAAAGGGTACATTCGACCAAGTACTTCACCTTGGGGTGCTCCGGTCATTTTTGTGGAGAAGAAGGACAAGACGAAGAGAATGTGTGTCGACTATCGCGTACTCAATGAGGTCACAATCAAGAACAAATATCCTTTACCGCGGATTGATGATTTGTTTGATCAGCTGAAAGGAGCTAAAGTGTTTTCTAAGATAGACCTGCGATCAGGCTACCACTAGTTGAGAATTCGGGAAGAGGATATTCCAAAGACAGCCTTCACCACTCGGTATGGGTTGTATGAGTGCACGGTTATGTCTTTCGGACTTACCAACACACCCGCATTCTTCATGAATCTGATGAACAAAGTGTTCATGGAATTTCTGGACAAGTTTGTTGTGGTCTTCATCGACGACATACTTATCTATTCAAAGTCCGAAGAAGAACATGAGCAACATCTCCGTCTGGTACTCGAGAAGTTGAAGGAGCACAGGTTATACGCCAAGTTCAGCAAGTGTGACTTCTGGTTGTCGGAAGTTAAATTTCTGGGTCACGTTATTACAGCTCAGGGCGTGGCAGTTGATCCATCGAACGTGGAGTCAGTTACCAAATGGACCCCACCGAAGACCGTGTCGCAGATTCAGAGTTTTCTTGGACTT